TTCAACACGGTTGAACTCTTTGACGGCGTAAGTTAATATTATATCTATCAGTCTTTAATAACTATTAGGATATACATAATTATAAATCGAACGTTTCGACTCCGCTTTGAGTTATCTTTAGCCATGCGGTAACAATTAAATCAAAATCATCTCACGTTTTGCCGGCGAGAAATAAGTGAGTAACTTCAAAAGTTGATAGTCTAGAAATAGCGTGATTTTCCAAGCGAGGAAATCCAAGTAAAACTTAGCTAATGATCATAGTTTATTATATGATCGAAGTTAAAATGATAGTAATAACTTGAACAAAAAGAGAAGTGAAGTCACTTACCCACCAGCTTAGAGAACGTGAGAATAAGCATTGAAGCTGCGGTAAAAAACATCGAGAAGCAATACAAATTGTAAGTAGAGAACGCCGTTACAATTGAGACAATGATACACTTAAAAGACAATCCTGATTCCAAATAACAACCGTCTCGTCCGACTGTCCAACCAACTCTCACTATACAATTTAAACGGTATTGTAGGTGAAGGGTTAAGAGTAGGAAGAATTTAAAATTGATTACAAAGGCAATACTAAAATCAAATTCAACGATTAAATCATGAGTAAATTAATAAATAAACAATTTAAAATAATGACCGGAGTAAAATTAAAAACACTAAAAAATGACGACAATTAAGTGACAATAATGGGCGAGGTTTACAATTTATTTAAAATTGAGACGTATACATGGTGTAGATATTCAATGTCTGATTGTAAATTAAGACCATTCTTCTGAAGTTGAATGTGCGTCATTTCGGAAATCAAACGTTTTGATAAAAATTTTTCATTGTCTAGCATTTTAACATTCTCGCAATTAAATTCATGTTTGCAGTTAATTCTGTGTTCTGTGATGACAGGAGAAATGGGTGTGTGTTCTCTCGAATATGGTAATAATGTTGAAATTATGGTTTTAAGTATAATATCATCGTTCGTCTCACATAGAATGCGTTACAATCCTTGCAGAATATTTTATAAACATTTTTCTTTGAATATGATTGTCAGAAAATCTTTATGGGCCTTGATAAAGCCTTTAAGTTTATTGAAACTAAAATAAAATCTGGCATCGATATCTTTGATAATGCTCTTGAATTTTTCCGAAATAGTAGGACATACGGTATCGTGAACCAAGATAGTTTGATTTTCAGTTCATTAAGAAGAGACCATTATTCTATTATTAATTGTGTCATGTATAAAATTCAAGAGATAGTCGTTATGTAGCGAAGTTTCAATTATCAGACTGAAAACGTCCAATTTATAATTATGTATCCTTATAGGTAGTATTTATTAAGGATCGATATAACTTACACATCGTCAACCGCGTTGAACTTTCAAAGCTCCCTTTTTACTCAGTTATTTATTTATGTGTTATTCAGTTATGATAAAACTATATATATGTTATCACTAATTATCCCAGCGAAAATATTTGCTAGTATTAATTGCTCTATAAATCGGTTAATAAATTTTATGTCCCGAATGTCCCATTTTCTCGATAATGTTTACAATCAATTTTATTCGTGGTCCGTTATAAGAGCGACAATATTAAAATTTATAGAATAGCTCGACGTTGCGCCACAGAACCAACATTTATTCAAGCTATCATGAGCGCAATTATTGCGAGAAATTCGTAAACAATAAATAATTTGATTAAGTAGACATAAAATGTACAATCAATTTTTTTTTTAGCAAATTTTTTTTAGCAAATTGTTGTTGGAGGTTATGCTATGTTCGATACCAAAAAAGTGATTTGTTTACGCGAAGACACGAGAGACGTTTTTACGATGGAAAAATACGCAGACAATGGAATAAAACATTGAATTCGTTATAGTCGCGAGAAGAGAATCTAAATGTATACGGCACGTAAATCGATTAGCCGAGTTTAGCTTTTGAAAAAAAACGCGAAAATTATAAAAGCATCGATAAAATACGAACACGCGCGCAGTACGCGTTTCTTTCTATTTTCGTTTCGCGATATAAATCGTGCGAATGTTCTAAAAGTAGCTGCGTCGCAAAATTAATTCAAGATATTTCAAACCAAGTAAAATCCAATTATAATTTTAATAATAATTTCTAATTTAATTCTAATTTAATAATGTAATGTATGGCGAGACCCCGTTAGTTTTCGCTTTTTTTCATCACACAAATTGTATTTTTGTATTAAAATTGTATTTTTGTCTCGGTGTAACGAGCGGAAAAAAGAGGACGTGCGTCACTCGCGTCACCTTCGCACCTCAACGTCACGAGCGTGATCGCGCGAGAGCCGTTCGATCGTGAATTATGCGCCGTTGAGAAATTGTTTGCGGTTACCGGGGTTGACACGCGACGCCCCGGCCGTGTTCATGACATGTATTCGAAGATGACGCGAAGGGACACAAAATTTGTTATCGCGTCACAGGGGAGAGCATTCGCGAAGCCGAACGGCCGCGACCGTCGCGTCGCTTTTTATTTCTCTCCCTTTCTCCCTCGCAGTCTTCTCTCTCGTGCATCTGCATCGACCGCACAGGAGGCGAGAGAGCGAAATACCGTCTCGACGATTTTTATGAACGGGTAGTTTTTGGCGCGAATAAAACACCGTGCGATGAACCTCCGCAGTGAAACGGAAAAAAAATTATTCATACGCCTTCCTAAAAATAAAAAGAAAAATTTTGCGCGCAGAATTCGACGGAGGACCGTTTGACTTGTGATGCAGTTTGACTCTTCTATTTTTTATTTTGTTTGTCGATACACATTGATCGATCAATAAATTGATGCGCCCGACGAGAATTCCGGTTATTTATTAATGCCTAAGACAGATATGTATTTATGAATATAAATAGTAACATAAATATAACAATAGTTCAGTAAAAGAAAAACAAGACATACACTAATGTGTAGAACTACAAAATAAAGTGGTCACTTAACATTGATGATCATTCATTGGGGTAAGCTTCATTCGCAGCTATAAAATGGGCACAATTGGTAGCTGCCAATAATAAAATATGCAAACGCACCGCGTATTTCAAATTATATTTACGGGGAGCCGCGTATTTGTGCACGCGCGTGTGTACATTTCAACTTCGAGATGATTTATCGCGAATGGCTTTCCAACAATTCGACGGGTTCGACGATTCTTTCTCGCTCGCTTCCCCTTTTCAGCTTCCGTCAAATTGGTCACGATGGAAAAAAACTACAAAAGAAAGAGGCCGCCCGCGTTCGCTCGTAAGATATTATCGCGTGTGGCAGTGTACGAATCGTTTAACTTTTGAAACCTGCAATAAATAATTTTTTTTATTAATATCAGCTTTCGCCGTCGGTGATAAGAACGTGGATCCGTGCGCGAAATTTTTGCAAAACTGAATGATTGCCGCCTGCAAATGTCGAGAACGAGATATCGATCTTTATCGTGTATAATAAAAGGTTCAGAATAGAACAACCTGGTTTACGACGATACGTAATTATAGCACGTATATCATTAGACACGCAGACTGATTTTACGTGATAATCTTATAACAATTTGCGGAATACAGTACTCGCCTTTTAATTCACCGCGTTACGAGGCCGTGACCCATTTGTCCCGCGCGGCGCGCACGTGAAAATTATCGAACGTAAAGCAAACGCGGAGAATAGTTATGTATACCGTCATACTGCGCCCCGTCGCTCCCTGTCTCCCTCCGGGGAGATTAGAGCCGATTACCCCACGAAATGCGTACGCGTTATCAGGCGCAGCCTCAGGTGTGTTGCAGCTACTTCACGTTAAGTCGGTCTTGTCACGCGACATGGTCTACGTATGTCATCGGTAATTGCGTGGATTTAATGTCAGTAAATGCCACGGCGCCGAATATCAATCTCACCGCAAATGCGGTTGCCATGTTAATCAGGCTAATATTAAAGCTGCATTGTATAATTAACGCTCTTGCTGATGAAAGGTGTTGAACCGTTTTATATCCTCGCGCGAATTGACGAGCTCATTCGTGAAAACGAGTTGAAATTTGGGTAAAAATCGTTAAAATTTGAATTATTAAATCAAACGAAAAAAAAATCTCACGAGTGACTGAAAATCCGAGAATTCGCCGAAAAGACGAAATTTCAAATTTGAACATCAGCGACAGAGGGAATTCGTGTGGACGATCGATCTCGGTGGACGTTCGGGAAAGCGTTACGCTCGGTCTATCAAAATCACGATCTCAAAGCTTATTGCGGCCGGTTTTAAAAACGCGAAGGAAAAGAATTGTTGACAAAACGGCCCGCCAGAGGAATACTCGGCAAACGTTGTCGTTTGTCGTTTGCGAACTATTTGAGACGTAACTACGCGTACATACACGGGCGAAAGAGTCTCCATGAGACCGTTAACGGTCGAGAGCCGTTAGACTCTCGTTCGATTTCCTCTCTTCTCTTTCGCTCTTTCCCTCTGGTGCTTTTCTCATTATTCGCGGGTAATCGTATCCGCGGCGCAATCGCACGCGACCGGGTCCGTATAATCGAGACCCAAACTCGCAGTTTCGCCGAGTGGCTGTTTCGCCAGAAGCCCACAAACCGTGCGTGAACACGCGCATTTACCTTTTTGCACCTACAAGCAATTACGTTGATCCAACGATTATATTCTAATAATCCTTTTTTTTCTTATACCTCCCCCCTTTCTATACAGTAAAAGTATTAAAGTCAACGGCAACAATCGGCAAAAATAATCTATTATTTTTTCTCACGAAATTACATAATATTTTCAGTTTTATTTGGCAAACACACGACTAATCCCATTTGCATCAATCTAATGCGTTACTTATATATAATAGCTAGAATTTATATATCTCTATCCTGGGATTTATATCTCTCACGTCGGGATAATCGAAAAACTCCGTTCGCAAATATGGCAGACGGCGCGAAAACAGTTCGGAGGAAGTTTCCGGTTAGCTGAAACTTACCGCCGATATTCGTCTTCACTTAAGCCAATCTCTAACTCTCACCCCTTTTCTCTCTCTCTTTTTGTCGCAGTGGCTCGGTCTGGGCATCATGGCAGTGGGCGTCTGGGCATGGACCGAAAAGGACACCTTCAACAACCTGTCCCGCCTCACGAACGTCGCACTCGATCCAGCATTTATCCTCATTCTAGTCGGTGAGTATCAGAGCTTTTTTTTCTCTTTTTCTTCTTTTCTCTCTTCTGCTCATTTCGCGACTCTCAGAGACGCACGGAGAGTTATAATGGCTCTCTTCGAGTGGTACTGAACTAAACTTTAATTTTAGGATTTTCTACAAAAATGTTCTTAGGAAATCCTAATTATAAATACGTACGATACAAACAATGCTTTACTTCAATGAAGAGTGACAGAGATTTTAACTCATTTCGTGAAATTATTATTGCAATATATTGGTCGCTTAAAAATATCAAACATTTGAAGAAATTACATCGGGACCATTAATTAAATTAATGCATAAATAGAACAGATATTTAATTAAAAGCGCTAACTTTTAAAAATTATTTCTTTAAATCTTCAAGTATAAATTCCAAATAAGAGATATATTTGTCATATCTAATTTTTCAATTCAGAAAAATGTAAAACAAAAATATTAGCAGCATAAAGTGATTTTTGTGGCAGAGAATGAAAATGAACTGTAATAAAAGAAGGAAACTACTCCCCATAATGCGCCGACTGATCATAGTAAGAATCGTAGTTTTCCGACATTTGGTGCCTTCCCTTGGCGGGGTGTCGGCGATCGCAATTTTTCCTCTCAGGACTGCCTGCAAAGGGGCTATCGTTTCCGTCGGCGGAACCATTTCGCACAACCGCGCGGCCATAACTTGATTTCTGTATTAACGCCACTCGGGTGGTCTCGTAATGGTTGCCCGGAGGACGACATTCGTTCTAATTCGTCCGCGATATTTCGCGCGCTTCCTTCACGCGGAAGTCGCGTAATGCGCCGACCGACAATATAGCGCGGATTTGTAATTTGGATAAGATCGGGGAATTGTAACTTACCTCTCCGAGAAACGAAGCTCGGAGCGAACCGGAAATTAAGGTGTCTGCATAATCGTAAATTTTTCGAATAGTTTAAGTTCTCCGAGAGAAACAAATTTGTTAAAAACCGCATACTTTCTAACTTTTTCTCTCTCTCTCTCTCTTTTTTTTGCTCTTCGGACTCGGCAAAAAGAATCCGTCAAAGTTAAGGTCGCGAATTCCGGAACGTCCTATAGATGCCTTTCGGAAACGAGGAATTTAAAGGAGCGACATAACGTAGAAACAGGACTATTTACCATTTCCGCTTCTTATAATCATTCAACCGAGACTCGTAGCAGATAGAGATATACATATAGCCATGCCGCGGTGCTTTGAAATTCAGCCTCTGTCTGAAGTTGAAATTCAATATCTCATTGTCTTACATTATTTAGGCACGCGCTCTGCGCTTCGCTTTTCAGAGACCTCTGTACAATTGCGTACGTTGGAGATTTGAAAAATTTTCATCTCGATAGTCTGATTTATGGAACGCTTCTTTCCTAATGTGTTAGAGGGCTAATAGTAAAAAATTAATGTGGTACAAGTAATAGGAAATTTATTCATTTTAATTATTTTGGAAAAGAGAGAGGCAAGAAAGACGGCGTCCTACGTGTTATTATAACAAGATAGAACTTTGAATTATTCTTTTAGCGCTCTACGAGACGCGCTTATTATAATACCGTAAATAGCCTTTTATGTTCGCGGATGTTAGTAATTTTATTCATTCACAACTGACAATTAACAATTACATACAATTTTTTTCTTTCCGCGAGCGGATATAGTTTCATTTACCAAGTAAACATTTATCAAAACGTTTCATGGAGCGTGTTTGCAACATAATAAGCCCATTTCAATTAACAGAGAGAGCGCATCAAACGAAGTGAGAATGAAAGAATGAGAAAAAGAAAGAGAGAGAGAGAGAAAGAGAGAGAGAAAGAGAGAAGAAATAATCGGTAGTTTCCCGGGTGAATCGCTCTCTTGTAAACGTAAACCATGGGGTAAATTAGGTAGAATGATGGAATGAAAAATAATGTCGGAGTTGTATAATCATAATGTATAAATGATACCACGTGCGTCCTCACCGAATACGAGGTTTTACGAATCGGAGTCCCAAAGGCAACGACACAATTCCCACGCCACGAGGGTGGAAGATAAGCTACGTACACGCGACATTACCGGCCATTACAGGGTGCGTTTTGCGCGAGAGGAAAGAGCTTTTTGTCGGCCGCGATCCTGACAACCTATTTTCCCGTGATGCACGCGGTCATTAGGGTGTACGAAGTACGTGCCAGTATTGGTGCAAAGTGAATACAGAGATTTTCGTGAATAAGTTTGAATCGAGTTTTATGCTAACACTGAAAAGTATATCATTGTTTTAAACGTCGAAGGATAAGCAATTTTTCCTACGATATCTCCAAACCTATCAGATCCCGATCTTTGTCGAAAAGCACTCAATATCCAATTTTCGTCGAAGAACTATAAATATTGAAGCACGGAAACTTGCCAGGAATTCTGCAGGAGAGCCAGCGGAACACTAATTAAAATGGATACGGGAGATACGGAAGGGTTAAGGGCGCACTGACAGAAAGCGCGTTCGCTGCGTCCCCCTCGATACGTTTCCATTAACCACCACAGACTCTCTCTCCGTTTCGCGACGCGAATGTAATATTCCGTCGGCTATATAATACACGTGCTCTACCGGCAAATAGACGCAGATTGCGCGCTGCGGCTCTTCCGTTCTCTCTCCCTCCTCCTCTCTCTCTCTCTCTCTCTCTCTCTCTCTTCTTCTAACAGGGTGCCAAAGTTTTAATTGGATACGAGGTGGCAGTAAGGCGACGGACATAAAATTAGGACGAGGTCTGGGTCCGATTTATTTCGCCGGTCCTCTGGGTTGCTGTTCTCTTCCCCGTTACGGACATCACGTTTCCGGACGTAGAGGATGACATTCCGAGACTCCGCTGTTGCGGGACGTGACGCTATATGAATCGAATTCGGAATTACACACCGGGTGTGTACACGTGGATTCCCGGAGATTCCGCGCTCCGGAAAGCCGCGCGCGCGCTTTCGAAGCGGTCACCCGCACGCGGTTTCGCCGAGCCGTAATAGCGAGAATGCTTCCGGGAATGTGCCCGGCGACCGAATTCAAGCCGGTATACGATGGGCTGGCCTGTGGTACGGCGTGGTTCTCTGCGGGACGTCGCGGCGGCCCAAATCGAATTTGCAGGGTACACCGGAAGAACAACGGTACGCGGGAGACCGCTCGAGTACGAAAGTGGGGACCGATTTGCGGGGGCTCATCCATTTGTTTGCCCCGTGTCCGTGGAAACAATCCCCTCGAAGTTCGAAGGGGACGGCGACAAGAGGCCAGCGCGTTCGTTCTATCGTCGCCTTAGTCGAATTCACTTAGTAGTAGGAGGAGGAAGAGAAGGAGGAGGAGTACTTACTTCAATTGTTCGTTTGACACTATTGAAAGATATTTGCGCTAAATTTTTGTTGAAAATTATACCACATTAAAGATAAAGAGAGAGGAAGGAAGGATAATAATATATCAGATGTAGGTACAGAACTAGTTCGCTCCTTTATCGCGCTGCTCCTGTTTCGTGAAGATAAATGTACTCGGTTAATTTTGTTATTCATCGTACCATTGTAATGCAACCTAAGCGTTATTAGTTTAATATTTATCGTACAAAACGATATTTGCGCTAATATTTAATTCCGTAGAGCCGAAGTGAGCGGCGAACTATCCCATTGTTTAACTTCGAGCCATTAAACGTTTGTTCAGCACGGTAGTATTTGAAATTACGAATTTTCGCTGCAGCTGATCAAACGTCAATAGAGCGCCCCTGGCTGAAAATTTTAATATAACTTTATGTAACGTAAAAAAAAATTTGTCAAAAAAAATGTTAGGCCGTCATTCAAGCGGCATTTTCATCGAAGTAATCGACGTCTCCTCATTATGTGTACCTTGTGTACTTAGGAAAGCGACGCGCGCTTGTTAATTATTTCGTACTTGCGTAGCATACTCCATCGACTTGAGCCTGGCTTTTCGATTATCTCATGCTCCAATTACTTGCATTTACTTTGACGAGTAACTCTACCTCTTCCGGCTTGCGCTTAATTTGGCGGAACGGTTACCAGATAAATAACAACAATTTAGACTTATAGCTGCACTATTTGAAAGTTAAGGGGATCCTAGAGCGACGGCCGAACTTCCTCGATGTCGATAATGTCAACATTTCTAATCCTGTTTTCTCTATATCTGTCCTTGTCTAACGAGAGGCATCTGTCCTTGTTTGATTGCTGCGCCATCACTCGCTACACGCAATACTGCTTATCCCATCAACCTGAATGTTCTTTTGCACATATAAAAGTTAAACACACTAATCTTTTTTTCTAGGCTTTCAATCTTAGTTCTAATTGCACGATATTGTTCTGAAATGTTTTCCCTATGTCCCAGCGTATCTCATTTTGTATATATATAACCTGCAGTATTTTTGTATAAGCAAATATTGTCGTCAGTGATAGCTCTATATGCTCAAATTTTTAATTTTCTTTTGTTTTTTATGTAAAGTTGACCAGACGGAACTACATTTTTGTACGTACTTCAATTCTGTAAAAGAATTTTGCAATTCCGTAAAGCCAGTTAAAAGTTTAATGCATTTAACTAAATGTCGGTAACGACTGCCACTATAGGATTCCCTTAACGCTTAGAACAAAAATTGCATTGTATCGCAGATATTCTAAACCATTTGTTTTATCCGTCGCAACACACATCTGCCATTTAGCAAAATTAATCTAAGTTTGACAATTATTCTACAAAATTTTCTACAATATACATCTATATAAATATTTTATATAATTTCACCTTTGCACAAAATTAATCCATGCTTTTTAAAGTTTATCAATCCCAATGCAAAGCTCGTTTGGAAAATACGCTTTTGGAAATCCGCCTAAAACTATTAGCGCTGCCGCCTGCCAAAATCGCGCAGCATTCCAGATAAATCGAAACTTGTGCAAAGAGAAACACTAAATCCTGGATTATGTTTGTTCCGCGCTTAAATAAATGCGATCGCAATTGAGTGCTGCGTTTTGATTTCCACCCGTGTATACTCCTGTCCTGAACGTCATCGCGAATTCAAATGCTCTCCATGAAACATCCGTAATTTTGCGTGCCACAAGTTAAACCTAAATTAATTACAAGAAACCGGATCTAATTAAAATCACGCTACAAAAGAATCGACTTCAAATTTTGTTCGCGGAATACGAAGAAAAGCACGAAAGACCTGGATTACTCTGTATATACATATATCTTCTCTTTTTAGTCAACGAAAACCTAAAATCGAAACAGATATTATCGGCTCACACTCTCTCGCCGTTATATTCGCGTGTCGCGAGGTGAGATCAAACGTATGCGTTCCTCTATCATGCAATTTTATTACCATACGACATAAAGCAACGTTGCGATATTGCAAGAGCGGCAAAGCTCTTTCGTCTACCATTGGCCCACGCCTGCCATTGCTTCCTTTATACGAAACATTGATTGCGTGCCAAATATTATAATCCAAATACGAGCTGAGTTGTAGCGTGAATAAAACGTCTTTATAGTAAACATAAGTATATATATATTTTTTTTATAGCAACAATTGCAATAATGGTTAATAAAAAAATTTATATAATTTAAAATAGATTTCGTTTATGTGGTTAACGTACAAAAATGCCTCGTAATAGCCTTATCCTGGTATAAAAATTTTCCAACTGCACTTTCAAGTATATACACGTTTCTACATTCGCACTTTTCGTTTTTCTTCATCGAGTTTTTCGTCCGAGCGCAAAGCGTTTCATCGTTGCCATTTTCTTCTAGTTCGTGGCAAGGCTTAACAAAAGTTCCGAAAGTAAGTCTGGACTAATTATTCAGTTACTTGAAAGAGCTTCGTTCTACGTTGCCCGTCCCTGCATCGGATTAAAAGTTACCCCCTCATTTCCGAAACACGTTCTAAAATCTTATAACTTTCGATGATAGATAAAAATTAAGTTCGATAGCGCCGAGTTTGACTTATAATCGTTTTCTCGATGCGGTTGCAAATTTTTTAATGGACCGAGTCATCGCCATCTCGTTGCTACGTGTAATTAAATTTACTCTTCATTGTTTCGAATTTATGAAAATTATACTATACATAGAAATATTGTCTAATATCTGATTAGGATTCATCGCTAAATCCTTGCTAAGAGTTGACGAATGTTCTCTACACTATTTTCTTCAATATAAATGAATAAAATTTAATTTTTATTCGCAAACATTTTTATGACGAATTTATATATGTATACGCATGAAAGTTCTCTTAACAGTTTTAATGCAAACGTATCGTTTTATATCATATAAAAAATTAATGTTATTTACATATTAAATATAAAAGGCGAAAAAGAGTTACTTGAATCCACACCGATTAATCGTGATAGCATGTAGCAAATTTTAAGCGTGTGTGCTCGCGAACTTTTTGTACACGCGGAATTGATTTAGCGCTCATTACGCGGCACGCTCGTTCGCGGGTAACAGATAATTTCATAAATATTTCGCATTACCATCGGTACAGCGCGGTACTGTTGATGACGAACTCTCACGAAATTCAACTGGAACGCACAGGAATTTTAATATAATTACTTGTGTTACTGCATGCATTCGCGAACCTACGTGTAACTAATACATGGCGTATGTTCGTAAATCAGAGTTGTTACGCAGGTGAAATTCCAGAACACTTCGAATTCCTTGGTTTTGCTGGCTAATAAAATCTTCTCGACTTCGAGGACTAAAAATTAAAAGGAAGAATGAGAACCAGACAAGTATATATATAATAATGTTAAAAATAATTTTAACACTATTTACAGTACGTATATGTATATAGGTATAATTTTAATACTTTTTGTGAACATATCTCTAAATTTCGATTTACTATGATTTTTACGATTAGTCTATCGATTTAGAACTCAATTAATGGTACCAAATAAACAAAACTCTTTTTCTCAATCTCCTCCGATATTGCCGGACCGTTTCAATCCTTCTGACGCAGCGTTCACCGTGATTAAGTTTCCAGTTTTCATGGGTTTTTCATCTACCTCGTTGCGAACCTATAAATGTGTCTGGGGAATTCACGCCGGGATGTCGATGTGGGAATGAATTCACCGGTGGGACGCGCGCACCCACGCTCATAACTCACGATTATACGATATATTGACGAATGCATTCGTGTTCTTCACGTTACATTTCGCGCGATGACGAAGTACCCGATACTATTTATTCTGTTGCAGGTACAGTGACATTTATCATCGGTTTCACGGGATGCGTCGGCGCGCTACGAGAGAACACATGCCTCCTCGCCGCGGTGAGCGTCCTACGGAATTCAATTAAGTTCTTTCTGGATTACTTTAATTGCTCAACATCTTTCGGAAACTTCGAACTTGGATCGAGCTTCCGGTTCGTTACGTGATATCTATGGTCTATCATTGGCTGGCCACCCGCGCCGCGCGCGATTCAACGAAAGTTCGCCCTTTGAGAAATGTAACGTTTAAAAGTACTTAAAACCGAAAAGCTCCGCTTTCTTTGATGATGAACTCTTGAAATTTAGAGTTCCCCGTAAGGGAACGAGTCGTTGAAAGGATGGTTCTAACGGGTAGTAAGTAGGGCAATAATGGGTACTAATTAATTTCTCATGGGATCTTGATAGAATTAATTTTACGTGTTGCAGTACGCGATGTTTTTGGCGCTACTACTGCTGATGGAAATGACTGTCGGTGTTCTGGGATTCATCTTCAAAGATTGGGTAAATATTACGTAGCTTCATATAATTTATAAAGTCATTATATATATATATATATATATATATACACTGTTAGAAGCAGTGTGTGAATATCACACACTTTATCGCGTGTGATGTGTGTCCGCCGTTTTAAGACGTCTGTAAGTGTGTTACTTTTTCACGCACGAATAGATGTTTGATTATATTAGCGTGTATGACTTGTCACACAGCTGGAGATGTGTAATTTAATGCAGTCCTCTTAATGCCAGAGGAATTATAATACTTTAAAACAAAAAAAAATATTTATTTCGAAATTTTATTACTATTTTTTAACTAAATTTGTTTCTTAAGATGCAGTCTATGATTATAAATATTTTTCTCGTATTTAAAAACACATATAAAAACACACTTACCTTGGTGGGATTCGAACTCGGGACCTCTGGATCGTGAGCCAACTGCCTTACGTGGTAGACCACTTCTTAATTTAATGTTAGTGTTATATTTAGTCTACATATGTCAACCAGCGCAAATATATAATTTTTCAAAAATCATCTTAAGAAACAAATTTAGTTTAAAAAGAGTAATAAGATTTTGAATTAGTTATATGATATAATATTTCTTAATGTCGGCTCATTACGAAATTTTGTGTTCGTAAATATATTTATGAAAAAAGTATATTTATGAAGTTAAAACATTCTTATCAAATCCATACACACACACACACACAAGAGAGAGGGCCTCATTAGACAAAAATAAAAGAACCTTTTTTATAGCATCCCTAATAAATAATGATCGGAATGTGCTTCCATCAAAGTGCTTGTTTATCTTGTTTATCCGTTCATAATAAAGAATACTGTATAATTGGCACTACACTTCAATGTGCACACAATTCGCCACAGGCTCGTCGTATTCTAACCTCAAAGAGTTGCTGATGCGTACCTGCATGATATGTGACTTGGTCAGTGTGTGACTAGTAAGTGTGTTATATTATAATCAGTGTGTAACTTTCCCCAAAATGTGTTATATTCACACACATAGAAACATTACACGTGTGTGAATACTATAGTGCTTGACTATTTCATACACTTGTGGATGTTTTACTAAATTCACACGTTGAAGTGTGTGTTTTATACACATTCCCTAGTGCGTTTCCCTGTTTTTCACACGTGCACATTGAGACACAAGTGCATGAACGTTTGAAAAATCATACATTACACACGTGTGACGCATTAATATTCACACATGTGTGACAGGTCTACTTCTAACAGTGTATATTATAATTTATAATGTACAATAATAATTATACAGCAAAACTTCCAAAATATGAATATATTTACACATTATATTTAAAAATACTTGTAATACTATGTATAAATCTAGTAAATATTAAAATGCGTGTGTGAGATATTATAGATTATTTTACAGCTATATAATTTAATATTGCTCGATGGATACCCTGTGCGCATTTCATTATTCGCGCAGATGATATTTCGCGAAGTATACAGCTTTACTAAAATTTATCCTGCAGAATTATACACAACATTTCCAAGACAAGTGTTCCTCGAGATAGTTTCGTTGCGTTCATTCGTAATCGTTTCTGCTTACCGTGTTTATTAATTCAGTAGCTACGAGAAACGTGGCTGAATTATCAAAGCGAATATGCCGAATACATTGTATAATATTCCTCTCCCTCTCTCTTTCTTTCTCTCGTCGGTGCATATTTCACAATCTCATTCGCTCTGGATATATGTACACCCATGCGCGAGGAAGATGTAGAGTATAGTCTAGGCGCCGACGAAGTTTGCGTATAATTATGCAGCAAGAGAGTTCCTGGATTACTAATTAATTCCATTAACCGTATCCTTTAAACATGACGAGAATTTTCTCCCGGTGGAAAATTTCGGACAACCAACAAACGTGCCATCATATCCCCGTATTCGCACGCAGCTCGCGTTTTAATGCGCGCCATTCTATTTCACGACTGGCGGCAAGTTAACTCGTCCTTGAGCAATTGCACCTGCAACACCTGTGACGCTCGTCAATTGTCCGGAGAGAATATCCCGGACTAGAAATCACCCACCGTAACAAGTCTTCGTAGAGACTACGAGGTCTTCGGTGTATACGGTCTTATATCCAGACACTTTTCTTTTCTCTTGTTTCGGGCGACAAAATTGGGATAGATTGATTTAAAAAATTTTAGGCTAGATCTTAGAACAATAATTAATTGATAAAAGACAGATTGATTGACATTAATTAATACGATATTTTGTTCATCGCAGATAAAGTCACAAGCTACGGGAGGCTTCCAAGCGTTCATCATCCACTACAGAGAGGATCCCGATCAGCAGAACCTCATCGATTGGATTCAAGAAGATTGGGCAAGTTGATTATATCAGGATTCTTCATTATATTAATATAACTAGAATAATCCGTGCTTCCCTCGTGCTCGTTACCCCGTCGAAGTATCGAATCACCGAAGCCGAACGTATACCGGCGCGGCGGCCTTAATAAGCGCGCGTGCTCGCATTTCCAAGTAGTGCAGGAAATCGTGCGGTCAGACGCGGTTTCCGAAACGCGGAAGCTCGCGCAAACTTTATCGAGTCGCCGCGGCCGCAGCACGAAAATCTGGCCAGATCCAGATTCCGAATGCCACGCGGCAGCGCCCAAATGGCGCGTAATATAGTAGCGTTCGACCATCGATATCCGGTTATCCAATTGTGGTTTATGAGATTTCAATAGAACCGCCCGGGTACACTGCCGCAATTTCGGTAATCCTATCAGTAGGAGCTAGTCGACGGTAAACCGCACACGCGCTCGCTCGCACATTGCAACCACACGTTACACTGCCGAACCGGATCCACCGAAAATTTCATTCGATCCGCCATACTTTACGAACGCGCGCGCGGAGCGCGACAGTGATTTACGTTCGGCCAAGTATCCAGCGGAACCGCGAGAATTAATTTAGCCGACGAATCCGTCGCGCGGTTAGCGGGATTCAGTTTGAGTAAAAAGCGGACGTCTGCCACGGAGGATGGATGAAGGTCGGTATCGAAACATGCCGCGAGAGGTTTGCGCTGTTCATATAGCCATGTAGATGCGACGTAGATTGCCGCGGATCCATCGATCAATATGTATGTACACACATAAATTATTGCGCGACGCGGAGACATACGGAAACATTTGCGGACTGATTCGGTTAATGTTTGAATGCGCGCGGACGGCGGGCTCCGGGACCGCTGATGAATCCGCAAGCGTTGAATTACCACCACGATTCCATCATCGGCAAACCATCGCGTCCAAACTATCGTCGTGTTGTCATAGTTAATACAACGGTTCACATTTTAACAAATTGAATAATATGAGATTGATAAAAGACACGGCATAATACTTTTTCTCAGTTTAATTAACATCAGTTATCAGAAACTGCATTAATTGAATACGTTTCTGAGTAGAGCAACTATATCGATACTCGAGTTCCAAGGCACTCTATAAGATTTATAGACGCTGCAATGCGAAAGATGATTGTGGCACGCGCGCAGATAAAAATTGTAAAATACCATAGTACACTCATAGATATACAGATTCAACGTTGTTTCCGAGGATTAAGATAATTCCGTTTGAAGATATGACAGTCGATTTCGGCCGAGAGCGCGATAGCGTCGAATTCGTTAATCGATGGTCGCCCGACCAATTGTGGTTTACGAGATTTCAATAGGGACGCCCGGTATGCCGGCGCGCAATTCCGGCAATCCTATCAGCCCCGGGGAAACCGAGGCACCACCAAGTTGCCATACACCGCATTGTCTGATCCCGTCGGGATTCACTCGGTACCATTTATAGGCGGTTAATGAAATGCTTAGTACTTCGACTTCGTGCGGTGGCGCGGAGCGTATTTACCGTCGCCATCCCACTTATCAATTGGCTCAACTCGGCCGGTTCGGTCCGGCGCGATCGATATACAGGATGTATCAAGAGAGACGGGTACGTCGGCAAACGAGAAAAATTCTGTCCCTGGAGGAATCTCGAGTCGATTCTTCCGTGGCAGAATATTTCATTCTGCAATACCGTTTTGCGCGCGCCGCGCCGCGCCGCGCCGTTCCTCAACGTTGAACGCGCCCTGACCAAAAAGTCGAAGTTAATTTTCTTGTTGTCGTTCGGAGATCGTCAAGAGATTCAATAACGATAACGAATTGAAATACGAACTGAAGATTCCGTTATATTCGCGTGAATTCCAATTGTTATCTGCGTGTTTCACTGTGTTACATGTTCTCTATCAGTTTAAGCTTTGCCAGTTACGGCGAAATTCTCGCCCAAAGAGAAATCGATGGCGAATCGAGCGGAGCGCCTGTTGTCGATCTCTCTTGATACAGCCTGTACGGCCATCGAGCGAATAATAATTAAATCCAGCTACAATCGGAAACTCGTATCTCGTATCTCAATACTCGACTCGCATTCGCATCTCGTATGAATATTCCACGCGCCCATGTTTCGTATTATGAATATTTGATTGGAACGAATTGAAACGTTACCGCAACGAATAATTGAAATAAAATAAAACGAGCACGCTGAAAACAAATCAACTTAAATTACGGTAGTTGCCAGGGGAAGGATCCGCCTGATATTATCTTTCGGTGCTCGACGCTTGTCCTTTCCCTTTCTCCCTTCCTCTCGATAATATTGGCTTCGCGTGACAGCCACTTCTTATATCGCGATAACGAATCGCCTGATTAATCGAATTCGTACGAAGTACGTGCGAAACGACAAACGCGAGGCGCTCTCACATCATGCAACCCCGTTATTAATAATTGAATTCGTGATATTCCCCGTATCGATTCTCTATTTTTAACCCCGGCGAGAGAATCTAATACACTTCGCGTCGGGTAATTCATTTTTATGCCTTTTAATTAAACGTGAAATATCTCCCGTCCGCGGCGCGAATGTCGTACCGAGAAATACGAATATTCCCATGGTTAATTAATTATACGATAGTATTGCGAGATACGCGTGTGCGCGCTTGCCGGCTGATTAATCAAATGCATATATAGCATAATATTAACTGGCGGTGTGCAATGTATGTTATACTTATTGGCAAGAGATTTTCCCAAATAAATTAGTGCCTGCAAGATCTACGAATTAATTACCCGTTGTAGACGACTGTCGCAAATGACGCTACTACTAATGACACAGTTATACGCAGAATTAATGTTTAGGAGAAAATTTATCGGGTATCCTTTATATAAAGAGAACATTTCATTGTTGGCCATTTGGCCGGCGGGATTAGCGTGAAAAAATTACCGAACTAACCAACGAGGACACATACGGGTAGCCGAGGAAGAAGAATAAAGCATCTCGGATTCGTAGAGGAAACATATATTGAGGTTTAATGAAGGTCTCGGGACTTCGGTCGCTGGCCAAGCCTCGTTGCGAGCCGAATCCCAACTCACATGATCCCACAGACTTTTTCTTCTTCCCTTAATACCCGGCTCCTTGCAACGAGATAATTTCGTTCTCTTATACGCTTATTATAGCCTGGTGCTTCTGAACCGGACGCGACGTTCTCTCTTCCTCGCTTATCGAACGATCTTATCCTTTAAGTTGCGTATTTAATATTGCCTCGTCTGAATTTCCAGCGTCATCGGAATTATTTATGACGACGTTTGAAATTCATACCCGCTCGTGATATTCATTGCAAATTCGACCGCGATTGATCATATCGGCGCTGACTTCAGCCTCGCCTGAGGATAATATTCTCGAACTGTCTGTGCGAACGAATTGCGATGAGTTTCCTGCCAAACTACTACATCGAAAACGACGAAATTCTGTGTAGATGTGTAGATCAAAGAATCCGTGTGGGAATCTATAAGCAATTCAAAATTTAGCGGTTTCTCTTAACATATAGAAGCACGTTATATCGTAATATTATAAAATTTGTTGTCTTATTTTTCAGTTGCAGTGTTGCGGCATTGAGGGTCCGAGGGATTGGGACCGCAACAATTATTTCAATTGTTCGTCAAGCGACATAGGCTCAAGGGAAGCATGCGGCGTGCCTTTTAGCTGTTGCAAGCGAAAACCTAATGTAATTTTCTCCATACTGATTATAGTACTCGTGATTGCTACCGCTGTATAAAATCATTTCCCATCGAATGCTAATTCTACGGTTGAAAGTCAAATCTTCTCTCCTTTTATTTGTTTCAGGAAATCATTAAAAATAAACAATGCGGTTATGATGTAAGAAAGCCCAGTTACGTAAGTATAACATCTTTATTCTATCGCTAATATTGATTAAGAATTTTTAAATTAAAATATTTACCTTTGTCGTATAACAAATAACGTTTAGAAAACCGGACTTGAAAAGTTCATGATTATAAAAGATACGAAAACCACTTTCTCTCAAAACATGTTATTTTCGGTTAAATATTATACTCTACTTTCGTCTCTTCTTATGTTCCGCGTTTTTAATGTGAGTCTTTAAATTCATCCCATCCAAAAAGTTCTTTTAATCATATCTTTTAAACTCCTTTACCTATTTCGTAACTATCGTAACTTACATACTCTACATCCACATATTACGAATGACACCCGACCGTAACATTCCGACCGTGGTATCCTAGTTTCGCCTTGTTTCCGATTCGAAACTTGCGTCATTTTGTGCCGCCGTTACGAAAGTACGGTAAACCAAGTGGAACGTGCCTCGGAGGGGCCGAATAATTTGTCTTTGGAATCGCGCTCCATCGCACGGGGCCAGATTCGAGATAGCGGTAGTTCTCCGGGGTAGTTTTGCGCGGGTCGCGCGCGCACGATTACACAATGTCTACAAGCGCGGGCAAAAACGATCCGGGTCAAGAAACTGTGGAACTTAATTAGAGAGAAAATAGTCGAGTCCAGGGGACGAAGGGAGAGGAAAGGGAAGAGGGGTGGCAGAGAGCGAAGGGAGAGGAAGGGGGGATAAGAACTTCTGTGCAGGCTTTATTTTAAGAGCAGGTATATCATTCCCGATGTAATGGCTCGGAGTCCGCCCCTTCGCTAATTACGCTTTCATCGAGAGAAGCCCTCGTCGCTTAATTATATTTTTTGTCGGGAGATCGTTAATGTGCACCGCGATGCGTTACGGACCGATAAAATGCGACTAAATAAATAACGATAAAGAGCTTTTTCCGTGCCGGTGTATTAAACGTCACCGATATTATTCACCCATTATGAGTGTGCCGTGTACAAATTAATAAAAATTACATTCGAGACGATTATCGTATTTGGTCACAATTTGCAAATAAGAATATAAATTTCAAATGCGGTTGAATCCCCGCGGGTGGGTTCCTCAAAAATCTGCTACACGTGACGGAGAATCGACGTTACGTGTATACCATCGCGAATACCGTCTCCCCCTCGTTACACCCCGCACCCACACTCCGCACCGGATCGCTTCACGCAACGGCGAGCATCACGAACACCTTATTACATTTCTCTTACTTTCCCCCCTGTGGTTTAAACCGCTAAGTTATGCCCGCGCGTCAGTCGATAAACCCTCTTAAGTTTTTCTCTCCCCCTTGGGGCGTGCTTTGTGGGTTCTCTCGCGCAGCGGCATAAAAATATATCTGTATGTCGTGAGTCGCGATTAAGAGGAAAACGGGAGTCGTTTTCTCATTCACGCCCAAAGAGCACACCCTCGTTGTCGTTGAGCGAGAGAGAGAACGAAAATGTATAGTATCGATGCTTGCTCGCGCGTTATCGGTGGACCGCAGCCCACAACCGACGGCGTAATTTCGAGTCTCTGAGCTCGAGCAAGCACCCTTGTATGTTACCGGCTTTTTAAACCATTTCTATTTACTCCCTCGGGCCAATGCAGACGGGAGAGAGAAGTATATTCGAGCGGGGTTGCCTAAGAGCGGGTGAGGAGTGGCTAGAATTGAACCTCGTACCCGTCGCCGGTACCGTGGTCAGCACCATGGTTCTGCAGGTACTTTTAATCCTAAAAACTGTCGTCCGTTAAGCTGGGAAGCCTCAACTTTCTTCGATCGCTTTTGCCGCAAAATATTCCACTTAAAAAAATCTGTAAATTAAAATACCATACTTTTTATATACGTAAACGCTTCACGAGTTTGCTAAGAATCGCGCCAGGATATATTAAACGAAATTCTGAAGAAGGTAGATATGTCTATAGATACCGATTCTATAATGTATATATTTTCAAATATAGTTGTCTACGTAAACAGCAATCTGCGAGTGATATTTCTATTTCCGCGAGTATTCCTATTTTATTCGGGCGGAATTGCGCGCGGCGACGAAGAATCTCGCGAGAAATATACGAGGCAACGAGGATTTTCAGAGAAACACCGCCGCGCGCGTATGAATTTCGCGGCGCGGCGGGAGAAATACCGTTCCAATATAACGCTCGCGAGCAGCCGGAGATTGATAGCACGACCGCCGTCACGGAAAGGAAAGGAAAGTATATACGGACTATCGTTCGTTGCACTCGGCGTGACATCCGCGCGCGAGCGTGTATTTCTACGGTCTAATACGTAAACGCGCCGCTATTACGCCTTAATGGCGTTGCCTTACTTACTTCTCTAAAGGCGTACGTGTGTGATGAATATTCCAGACGCGCCGATCGATCCGTTTTTACGCCGACGCGCGGTGCAAAGACCGGAAAAAGTAAACTTGGGCCAAGTACCGGCGGGCAGGCGGAGCGCGATCGACCGAGCGATGCAAAGTGGTTTACCGTTAAAAAGCTTTAATTTCATTAAACGCGTGCTTTCCGCGTGGCATGTCTCAGCTGCGACGCGACATGGTTACTAAGGCACACGCGCGAGAAAGTTGCAGTTCCCCAGCTTCTCGGTTACCTCGGTAAAGATGATTCGCTGTTTACGAACATGATCGCATGTATGTTAGATGTAGACGTGACGAAATTCTGCACGGGACGTCTCGGAAATCACCGCCGAATGCTCTTTTAACCGCGAAGCTCGATATTTTCTCATATTGCGAGAAATTCGATTTCGAATTCGATCCGCAAAGAATCAATAAAAAAGACATCCGGTGATTCGTGACAATGTCCCAGTAATATGTCTCACGATATTATGTACAAATTTGATATATCGTTTTTATTTCTCGTTTTTAGTTCTGCTTACGTTTTGTTCGATAGCGTATAATGCTTGTCGCATTGTCAAATTTAGAAATGTTACTATTGTTACGTACGCTTATAAACATATCTCTCCATTATATGGGTCAGATAGTAAGTAAGTATAAGTATCAGAATGACGTGTATATTCTCGGCGATGCATTTTGTATCGATACGCGATAGCTCGAGGGAGAATCGATACGGTAAGTACTATGTATATCCCGCTTCTAAACAAAAACGTCATAATGCGTGTAATAACGAAATGCGTGGTATATGGTATACATCGAAGCGTACTCGTCCGAGAGAATTTTGTTCTTCATAACAAAACGCAGTTCACATTATTTACAATTGATTCATTTGTGCGAGTACGTTGTGCAACAAATATCATCTCTATTGAAATATGTGTACTCATGTAGATTTGATTTTGCAAAAATCGAGTGTACAGAGTTAGCCAATTCAAATATCTGCCAATACTTGCGACGAATATTTAGATAACAATTATCTCATCGATACGTTCCCATATTACACTTTACACATCGGTATACTCTTACGCAAATATCACGACTATCGCGTATCTCTTAAAATTTTCAATGATTATTGTTAATTTGTCGTCGCATAATTTCGTTCAATAACCGCCTCTCGTTCATTCTCTTTCCTCTCGGAAACATCACTTTCCGCATAGTTAAGCGCATTATATACTTTAATGAAGATAGAAATATAAGTCATAAGCGCGTGCACCTTGCAACTATTCTATAAAAGTGTTTATACGAAGCTGGCACGCGATGCAATAATACGAGTTTTTCCCGTCCCGTAATCAGTATGGTAAATTACTGCCAACTCGCTGGATAATCTTGACAGCTAGACCGATTATATAGTACCTCACTTCGATACGCAACAAACGTCTGAAGAACCAGTTTACGCGTCATAAACATCGAGCGTTTTTCTCTCTTGGCGCGACTATATTAATTCCATGCTAATTATTCAAATTTCAATTTCACGGCCGGCGCGAGTTTTATTGTTTTATTGTTATTTGGACGGTGTGTTTGCATCCAATTACATCGCAACAAGATTGCATATTGACATATCGGCTGGTAAACTGGCGCGCATTAATATTACATTAATTGACACGTTTAATCGAAAATTATCGAGAAATTCATCATTAAATTTGCTATTAAAATACGATTAACCTAACCGTCGGTTCGTCAATATGATAGCTACGAAATTAATAAACGACTCAATGGAATGGTAAATTGATTTGGGAAAAATGTATGTGTCGTATTGCGCGGACAGAAAGTGCATCTAAAATTGCATTTAGCGATTTTCCACGTACCTGAATGTCTAAGATTTATGTTGATTCTTTATGCTGATTGAGGAAGATTATCGCAAACTATATCGCAGCCATAAAGTATCGCTCGAGCAATTATACGTCAGAATTACGTACATACAAGGCCAACCGACCCGGGCGAGGCACAAAATCATATTACGTTAAAATCACCGGATTATACTAGTAGGCTAGAGCCCGGGATTATGCTACGCTATAATCGCGCGCTTATCTATACGCTAGCGCGCGCGATTGTACTGCGCCAGAATTGCGATGTTATCTATGCTAATACGGGGAGATTATAGTACGCTAAAATAAGGAGGCTGCCATCGCCGCGCTATGCTATCCCGCGGCGCGGCTCGAAAAACGCCCGGGAAAGGATCTCGTCGTGGAGTGAGAAATGTTGGCAAGTAGCTGAACGAACAGTGGAGAGATGAATAGAAACGAGTGGCACGTTGGCTCGGAAGGCTTTTTCCACCGTCAAATTAATCTTCTCTCGTCGCGCCGCTGAAAAATTTTCGCTACTCGTAGCTTACGCCCTGTCAGAGCCTCAATTAACTGCGCTTAACCAAAGTCACGTTGGGTACACACCAGACCCTCGTCGTCTATTTTCCGCCTTCGGTCTTCCCCAATCTCGTCGCTGTCATCGCGCGCATCGTCGGCCGCTTTGACACGCGCGCGCGACGTTGAAGAGCCAGAATAAATTAGCAGTTCCCGCACCGGGAGACCCTTCAACGTAAGGGACGTAAAGGAAGAGTGGCGGAGAAGAACGAGAGACGAAAACTCTTAAGTAATTAGGGCATCTAACGCCCCGCTAATGAGGCAGTCGCACAATATCGTCCGCGTATCGAGAAGGAGACGGAGAGGACAACGTTAAGGGAAAAGTTGGATAGCGGAGAGGTATAGAAGGTGTAAATGAAGTAGCAGGTTGAAAGCCTCGCGTAGTTACTCCCTGGCTCCTTGAAGGTAAACGCGCGAGGCACGGCGTAACAGAATGGGCTTGTTACTTAGGATCCCTCTTTCCTCCCCTATCTACCGTCCCCCGACCCCGTAAATGCCCCATACGTGCTTCCTCTTTCCGCCTTCCGCGCACCCGCCGCTGTAACGTGTATATATATTTTCTCGAGTACGTACGTGCCCTCCGTTCCCTCCGCTCGAAATCCTCCTTCCGTTTTCTTTCTCCTCCTCCTCCTCCTCCTCCTCTTCCTCCTTTGGATCCACTTTACGATCCCGGCTCGATTTGCGCCCCTCCGGCGCAGCCCTTACCCATTCCTAATAAATCAAGTTGCTACCTTTATATGACTGGAAATTGAAGTTACCGGCCGGAGACTTCGCTAGAAAATTTAAGCGGCGAAATTCATTGTTCGGGGCCACGACCGAGCGGGATATCGCTCCTTTAAGAACGTCATTCTCGTATATAACGCACGTTACCGTTCTTTCGCTCCTCCTGGACGAGCTTCCCTCCGAGTGATATAGTTCTCGCGACGGAATCGTGAAAAACGCGCAGAGAGAAAACACGTCGACTGGAGTCCGAGTACCTTATTGAGTTTTCACTTAACGGAACGAAGAACGAGATCAAGCGGGATGTAAAACCGAGAGCAGTCCTGACCTTTTCAGTGTTCTCGCGAGTTCTCGTCTTCGGGCGACCGAGAGTTATCATCGTGGATTTTATCCTCGCTCTCATTTGCGAGCAGTTTTTGCGTTCCGCGCGCGGTTATTCGAGCGCATCGCAATCTTGCGAAACACCGACGTGTCAACATTATAATTCGTTCGCGATAAATGTCTCGTCGGAAGGACAGAATAAGATTGCTGTGATATGACTTAAAATATATCGAACATGAAACTTTAATTAAAGAATCATGTTCACGTCGTAGCTGATAGGTTATTAGCTATCGTTAAATCTAGCCTCGATTATTACCACAATTCGCGTAAATGGCGAAACGCGAAACGCGTCGCGACGAACGTTTAAAGGGATTGCGACACGCGCGCATTAAAATAGCGACCGATTGACGCGATCGACGGTAAACCGGAGTTACATAAACAACGGTGCAGCTATCCTTTCACTTTCTCTACGGAAACCTTCACGGAACTAATACCACCACCACCACCATCGGAAAATTGTCCTGGACTAACAACTGTAATAGTAGCGTGACCCCCGGGGAAAGGGGGACAGCTGACGGTAAGCAAAGTAGCCGTTTCCTTTTCTTCTTTTGCAGAACTTTGAGGTCGCCAAAGTGATTTATGAAAAAGGTTGCATACAGGCCGGCGAGGAATGGATAGAACGAAATCTCCTCGCGATTGCCAGCGGTGCGGTTGGCACAGCATTCACTCAGGTATATGATGCTGGTAAAATGCATTAGCATAAGTACAAGCTCCGATCTTCGGCACGCATCGATAAACTTTCGACGAGTACGTAGAAGTACCTCGCGACTTGACTCTCTCGCGATTAATTAACATTTGGAATCCGTACGTTCAACACTTGACATGACCTAAGTTAAATGATGAAGCGTCAATTGCGAGGCGTCAAGGTGGAAATCTTGGTCGAGAATTTTCGAAAAACGTTATTTTCAAGTGACCGCGTGTGGGCGTTTTACGGTAGTTAAGATTCTTTTAAAATTCAGCCCGTAATGGAAAACTCAAACTCTTGGTGCGAACTCTCGCTTAATTTTCAATTTGCGATTCAGATATATTCTATGTAGCTCAAGATTGCCATCATTGATTCAGAGTGTTAAAACGAGTTTTTAGCACGTTTCTCGCGATGTATATTCGTTGATGCGGACCGCTGTATTATGGAGCCGTTGCATGCCCTAAAGGAAATAAGGTGAGACTTTATCCGTGCTTGCAACGTTGACTGTTACCAGTTTCGTTCGCAGTGTTACACGCGGGAAGACGTAAAGTAGATGCGAGATACATAATAACACGTAGCTATATAGGCGGCGCAAGTGCGTTTATCAGCGTAATATATTGAGCCTCTCTTGAATTTTATTAAAGGATTTTAAATTCATGCTTACTTTACGTAATGAATTTTCCCCTTACAACGTATGTGTCAAGTAGATGTTGATATTGCTCAAAGCATGTTGATATTGCTCGTTCTATTAGAACTTATCGATTGCATCTCGATGTGATGTATGATTTAATTATTCAGATTAATTATACGTACGTACGTGTATCCAATTATCCAAAATTATAGATGTATGCATATTCACCATGAGCACAAATACTACTAAATGGTAGCGAATTAAATCAATTTAATTTCAGTAGTTTTCTTCCAACTAAAAAATTTATCGATAAATTCTTTCGATAAATTTCATATATTCTATATCAGTAAATTTTATATATTTTATATAATTTTAGTAGTTATAAATATACTTTTAGCATTTTCATAAACCTGATTTAATGCAGACTATTTATACATCATTTATACATCAGTTATTTTAAGTATAAAAATAATACATCGTTTCACGAATACAGTGGACGATTAAAGCAAATGTAGGTATCGTTTTAATTATTCTGCTAAATTAAAAGAATATTCTCTCTATGAAATATTCTTCAGAACCGTCTTGACGGTAACAAGAGAAATATTATTTCTACTTTTAGAATACTATATCGAATATCAATTGAAACGTTTCAGACATTCGCGAATATTTTATGAAAATGCTAAGAGAGCGTTTCTCTTTTTAATTCTCGCGGATGCTTTACGGCACAGCGATAAACGGAGTGTTCTCACTGTTTTCAGATTCTGGGAATCTGCTTCGCGCAGAATTTGCGCGCGGATATATTCGCGCAAAAGGCGAAGTGGCATTGACAATCGCGTGCCCCCACGGCAGTCTAGCATCTTGTCTTTATAGATGCTAACCGGCTACGTTGATCGAATCACAAGGTCTCGACGCGGACTCGGAGCTCCGGAGCGAGCGGATCGATTGGATCTTTTCGCAGACGAAGAGCGGACGGATATCCTCGAAGGATTTTCACGATCGAGCCAACACCGATGACCGGATTGCGATTCTCCGACGATAATCAGATCCGCGCGATAGCGCTGCGACTCGCACCGCTCGAATCCTTCGACTTGTAAATATCCGAGAAACTTTGCAGTCGCGCGCGACGACCCCGTCCTGCTCCTTCCGTACCGTCCAATCGATTAATCGTCTGAATTGTCGAATAATGAGAGAAATTGATTGTTTTCGAAGTTCAGTCTTATCGCGCCCTGATTAACGTCGCTTTTGAGTAGATTTCTTATCGCAGATACAGATGGAGCAATCGCCAAAAGTAATGAAAAACTTAAAGATATCTACATGTTATTTATTTGTGGCATTGTGTATAATTTAATTGTATTTTATACAAGGATTAATAGAGACATAAATTTTTACATATTAATACATGTAGTAAAATGAGGATCAACACAGTTTATACAAAAATAAAAATTGGCATTGTAAATTTAGATTAATAATATATTTAATTCCAATCTCAATTTTTGGCAAATTATAATCGGATATTAGAAATAGAAAATTTTTCTTGCCATATACGTATACATTTCTTTGAATTAAGATCAATTTCTCTCGCTATCAAACGACGTCGACGAGAAGACGTTGGTCGTCGCGACGCAAGCGTTCAGCAGGAAGGTTTTTCGACGAGTGCATCGCAGTACATCGTCACGAAATATCCGATGTAACGTTTGTCTTCATCACCGAAGCGGAACGTCTCGATGTTTCATCTCGACGTTGCTGCCTGCGAAACGTATTTACTTTTTTGCGAGGAAACGTGCGCCAAAATATTTTTCTTAAGAATTGCGAGATCTCCAGGCATCCCCTTTGCAATGATTGCTTCAAAATTTTCACACAAATCTAATATAATCAAAATTGAATCTTTCGAAAATCATGGAAGGGCTTATTTTTTTTAATGAGTTACTCAAATCCGTGAAATATTCCTTGTACGAAAAAATTTTATTATAGATTTTTGTACAGCAATAATATATTTTTTTCACTAGTATTTCTTTAAGATAAATGAATTTTGCTCAAATATATATATGATTTGACTTACAAGTGTCTTGAGTAACGGAAGTATAGCTAGCTTGACTGAATCGTTTGATGATTGTACAAAAGGGATATTTTCGAATCGGATATATTCGTTCTGGTATATCAGGCTTCTCAAATCGACGAGTCAACAAGCGATCACAAGTGACACTCAAAGCAGCGAACTCGATTCCACGGAAAATCGATACTCCTAGGGCAAACAATGGAATCTCATCCGTGGTGTCTGGTACTCGCAATTCGATCTCTCTCGAGACGCCTTAGGGCTGATTGCATCAACATCGATTATCGTCGCTAATCGTGGTTAACTGCATTTCTGTTTTCTACCTATATAAATCGAGGCCATAATTTAAAGGAGTTATCAATTAGAATTAATTAATCAAGTTTGTCAATGATGCAGTTAATTTTTAGACCTGATCGTCAATTATCGCAAACTATTGTTAATCGGATATTTTCTATTGGAGTTCAGTCGTACAAAACGTGTACAAAAGATGAACGAAATTAGTGAAGTTAAACGATAGATGCAACCAGCTCAGCTCCTTCCGGGCTCGCGCGGAACCGCTCGACCGTTGCAGGACACGGTCGACTGCGAAATCTCGTCCTCCTGTCTGGAGATGAAAAAAGTAGATACGTTTCGCGCATTTAGGATAGGAAAAGACAGACGAACGCCTTCGCCTAGGATTCGCGAGCTACAATGTGTCGAGCCATTATAAGATCGGTCAACGTGACGTCGTCGTGGGGGCGCGGTGAACGAGAAAAGTCGACTTCACCGCACAAGAATTCAGCAACAACTTTTCGCCGTGATAGAGAACGGTAGCCATACAACATACACAAGTATACAATAACTTTCCCTTGTTCCCAATTGGTCGTCAAATACGACGCAGTAATGGATCCACTGGGCCACCTCGGGCATATCGATTCCTCCTGAATTACATTCCATCCCTCCATCGTTGGGCCAGATGTCCGTCGTACCCCGTGTCTACCGCACATATCGTATATCGAGAAGCACGTCGAAAGCCTGTTTCGATTTTACAATCATGACTATTTATCGCTACTATAGTAACTGCGAGCACAAACAACAAGTGCATTGAGTTTCGACTTTCGACGTAACAAGTAATTCTTTATATTTCGTTATATATATATTTTTTTAATATAATTAAGTTTAAAAACAATTTAATCTTTAAGATTCCCGTTGAAATGTACATACGACAAATTTAACGCTTCAGGCTGGGAAAAATTATGACAGCTTGCGCAAACAAATACAGTCATAAATTACAATAACCGTTTGAGTGTTCATCGATTTGGAATATCTCACGAAAAAGATATTATCGAGGGACTTCGACATGTGCTGCTGAAGGGCCGATGGTAAATACGATAGCGGTAAATACCGCATTTTATATCGTGTAGTAAATTACATGGGGTAGTGTGTATTATATACTGTGCGAGTAGACGCGGGTGGCATAACGTGGCTAACTTGGGCTGTTAATATTTATAAATCTTGTGTGCTGGGAAACATGACGGTTCTATGTATTTATTTATGCTCGAACTTAACAACAAGGGAGCAAAAGTTTGCGGGAATGGCTGAGGAAATGTTTCGCGAGGCTTTCCCGAATGTTGGAAAATTTATTGTTTTGCTGCAAACAAAAAAGACACTTTTCCGAAAACTTGGTAATAAAGTGTGATAAGGAAATTTTTACGCGGCTGGCCCGCGCGCAAAACTGACTTGCAGTATGCGTAAACTGCCGATTTTTGTGACTACGCGATGCAAGTTGTACCTATGCGATGTATTATTTGAAGCGTAATTCTTAATTAATTTAAAACTAATTAAGTTGTTTCAAATAACGCTTACATATAAAAAAAGACAGTTTACAAACAAGCGTGTATTCTCAGTTAAGTTTATGTTTCAGCGTTTTGCGTCAGAAAGCTCTCTTTAAGCGCCGCAAACCGCAAATGCATTGTCTTTGGTCGATCTACGTGCCAATCGATTGCACGATATAATACCTGTTGCTAAGCGGTTCGAGCATGAATGCGAAATATGTCATTCCAATATCTTTCTCTTAAGACGCTTCTATTCCTTGTAAAACTCGTCGCGTCACGATAGATAGCCGAATATATTAATATAATTAACGAGAGATACTCGTTAGAGGAACGTTGTTGTTATTTCACAAAATTTGCCGTATGAGTTTACATCTTGGCTCATCCGAGGAACTTCTCTGTCGTGAATACACGATGCTGTGATCCGTGACGTTAATTAGTCGCTCGTTTCGCCGCAAGTAAAGAAGTTAAGTTAACCGACGATTGTAATTTTTTACGAGCCATCGACGCGAGTGCGGAAGCGGGTTTAGCAAAGGCTGTGCTATTTAAGACGAATACTCTCGAAATAATACTCTTCTTATATATAATTGTTTGAATGTTGTCCCTCTTTCCTCTTTCTCTTTCTCTCTTTTCCTCTCATGTGTTCAACGTTAACAATATGAGCAGCAGACGCGTACACGTTTTAACGACGACTGTGTACATACCGACCTGCAATGATCTATTTTGCCAAGATTGAAATGTAGAAAAAAAAGAGTCATCTCTAGGGAAATAAGATTTACTCTTAAACAAAAAATATATACATATATAATATATATTTCGATATACGTAACGATGTGTAACTCATATGCAAAGTGTGTTGCGGTTTCTATATATTTCATTCGCAAGCACGCGCTTGCAAGCAGATACATACATACGTCTAGTATAAAATCGTCGAAACAATTTGCTAAACCCGACGTTCCCAGCCCGTGCATCGTCCCATTAACTCGAGTTGTTAACCTGATCCGATATCCTCGTCGAGATAACCGCAACAAGCAATCTTGCCAAAGAATATACGGATCACGTGACACGAATTAAACCAGTTTCGATTTGAAGATATACTGTAGTGCGTCGAACGTTAAGTTAGTATACACGATTTTACCCGTTATTATATGTCTCCGCAAGATTGTCTTATCAATCTTTTCCCCCTTAAATTTAGTGCTTGATCCGAGCCGCGGATCAAGCTCGTCGATCATCGCGTTTCTCCGTTTCACATCGCGTCGTTAAATATCAGTTATTTAGATTTGTAAGGTATCTAATCGTTGCCACAAGATCGAGCCAGTAATCTGGTTTAATTTTAGTTATTCGCGAGAGATCTACGCTGCAGCCGTCCTACGAAAATTACAATCCGAGACCAGGTTTACTTTAAAGACTAACTTACTTCTAAAATGGCATTATAGTTTCTCATACTTCGTATCGTATTCGAACGAATTGACAAGTTTTTAGTCTCTCTACGCACGATTCGTCATCGCATCTTTGTAATGTCTCATAAACGTTTGCACATTTCGCCTTTCAATTGTGATGACAATTGCGTATAATTTCTTTTTTATTAATAAAGATATGATTTACATTTCTGCTTTCGTTGTTTTTTTTCCTTCTTTCGCTAATTTTATTTAATTTTATCTATATATACGTTTATATAGCTTTAATCCACGTGATATGTCAATTATCATTTGTCAATTTACTTTTTTTTTCATATCCTATATAATTACTTGCGATAAATTCATTTTTATACAAATTCACAATTTTTACGTGTATCATATTAAGAACAAGAAAGCTCTTGACAATTTATTAATAATATTTAAGGTATTTCTTACAATATCAATGGCAATGCACGAAGTAAAACTTAAATGTTATTGATAAGTATTCGTAATTGCCTCCATAAAGTAAGTCGACAATGACCCAGCAACTTAACACACGAGATAACTGATAATTTAAATCTTACTATTCGATCCGTCTATTATGTCTTACGGACGATTACAACGTTACATTCCTTCTTTCAAATTCGTGTAAATACTGTATATGTATACTTGTAAAAAAAAAAGAAAAAGGAACTAAGGGATAGTTTAATCGCTTGACCAACACCGTTACGGTGAACAAAGATGATGTAATATAATGTTCTTTCCGTGTAGACTATAAAACGGAGTTTATTAGCCGATCGGCAGTATCCGAATCTTGTAAATATGTAACCGCGTACGATCGTGTCGTGATAACCGAGCTAAATCACTTATGGTGCCAAAAACGTGCAGACAAATTTGACACTTATTCAGTGAATTTGAGAAGGTGATCGTAAAAAATATATGATCGATAGCTTTTTAATGCGTACTCCACGTTGTTTAATGTGGATTTAAAGCGGTTTGGAGCTCTTCAATTTAAACTCGATGTACGATGTTATTCAAAGGATCAAAGTAACGTAATTAATAACGAAAAAATTCGCGAAGCCCGGGCCACCGCAATTACGCTGCACGATTATATTTATCTGTATTTTATATGGCTCGTGTATGTACAGTACACGCGCTTGTACACCCAATATAAATAAGAGCTAAACACGTCCGAGTAGACTAAACTGATCAGACAAAACCGATGTTCTTACTGTTTCGATCGTACTGATCCTCGCTTCGTTAAATTGTAGCGAAAAATTCTGAGGAAAGCAAAACGAGAGCTTCGTTATTTCGCGAAATCGTAATGAAGCTTACCTCTCATGCCACGAATGCGTTCAATAATCCTCGAAAAAGGGTCACGGAATTCAGGTTCGTTAATTGTATTAAAAAGGGCAACTACGCCGTAGGGAAAGCTCATATAAGTTGATTACGATTTATGTACTGCCTTATTTTTAATATAGCCTCGATTTAACGTTTACGAGAAATATATACCCACGTTTGTCAATCGCGCGCTTCGAACCGTCTCTGAAATAATTGCAACGACCACTGCCATTGTGGTGTTTGACCTTTTGATAATTTGCGATTGTATCGGTGCGACTATATACATATGTAATATAGGTAAATAGCACGTATTCCTAAGTGTAATCATTGTAATTGAACTAATGTAAATACAGTCACATACTTTTCTTGTAACGGCTAAGAGATTACTGTAATGTTTTTATGGGCAACAAATGGACATTTATACCCGTCGACGTGTGAGTCAATAAAAATTACGATAACTGATATTTTTTGCACAATTTCGTTAGGGATATTTATGTTTTTGCGTAATACATGAAACGCATACACGTTGAAAAAAAAATACGGAAAAATTTAGAAATATCAATAAACATAAAGTAACATAGAATACATATCCTCCTTATATTAATGTTTATTGCATAATTTGTTTAGCAGTTTTATACAAACATGTTATAAAATTTTATTTATGTCTTATTATATTCTACGTAGCTTTTATACTTTTTTTAAATAAAGTATATTAAATTGTATATCAATATTGCGCGTGTGTTGACTATACATTAAAATGAAATTATATATTAAAATAAATCGTTCTTTATTATTTATCGATCGAGAAATGAACAGGAAATAAAACACACGGTTTCATCGGCTGTAGCATCAAACGGTAACCGGACAAACGCAAAGTTCATAACCGCAGTTATACCGGCTATTTCCGCAACTTTCCAGGTAAGCTTACACACGTTCCACTAGATGACTATACTTCTTTTATTACAGAAAAAGAATAATTATGCATATAAAATATATACATGTATTAATTATCAAATAAATTTTTCCTATGTTTACGTCGAAAACGGCAATGCCTCCACGCGATAAGCTTATCAATTATTATGAGTATTTTATTGTAAAGGAAAGTATTTAATTACCGTTATCAGATTTATAAAGATTTACGACCGTTCATTGAAATCTCTGAATCTTTTGTTTATTCAAACGTACTTCCTCCCAGGAAATCCTGTGCAGCCGTGCCAAGACGTGCTTCGCGACGCTCGACGGCGACGCGTTCACCGTCAGAGGATTATTCGCATGGCTCTTCATTGTCAAAACACGATAGCTTCCCCTGACGCGTGACCCAGTTTCTGACAGAATTGCTCGAAAGTCACCGGCGCGGCGTACGTGCGGCGTGAAATTCGTTCGATCTAGGACGAGAGTACTCCGACCGGCTGCATGTAAATACATAGGCGTGACGTTTAACTACCCGCATTAATTACACGATTATTATGTTGTTATCATATTACGCGGTTCGCGCATGCGGGAAAACCAGTCGTTTCCCCCGAGAGATATCCTTATGCCGCACGCAATATGTATCGTGATACGCAAACACGAAAGGGTCTACGTGAAAGTTGCAACGTAGACCACGGTGAACCAGGACGGTCATTATGCCAGTAATCACCGTGATTATTGTCCTCCCAGTCGAACCGGGAGAGAGGAAGGGAGGCAAGTTACTCAGGGTTATCGTTTGTTTTCTTTTCGTTTCTTTACGTATAGTCACCCGATATTTCTCTCGACGTTTTTCGTACCGACTCAATTATGGATCGATTCTTCAACGTATGAACCCGTTTTCGTCGGACAGAAACGGACAAACTTTAATTTTTAAACATTTTATAGAAGCGTCGGTCGTCGTGTCAGTCAGCGCTTCATTGGCTACAAAGGAGGATACTCTAATCGATAAGATAAAGCCACGATTAATGTTGCAAATGTCAAACTTATATGGGATGGGTATCTACATACGTAGATATTTCCGATCTCCAAGTAACGATCACTGCACACGAAAGGGAAGGTTTAAATTATAAATTTAACCCGATTTCCTTCCTTATCCCCCTCCTCCGCGAAATTCGAATGACAGAATGACGAGCTGGCAACAGCGTGAATATCAAACGAATCCTCACATAAAAATCAACTAATTGTAAGACAAATATGCGAGCGCGGTATCGCGAAATCCTTTCGGCCTACTTTCGCGTTTTCTTATCTAGGACGTAGCGACCTACGGAATATAAAGAGGAAGAGGATTCGTCGACTTCTTCGGCGGTGCGATATCACGGTTAGATTTCTATACGGCTAGCTTTATCTAATCTGTACGTCAGGTTCAATCCCCCCTTGATATCGGAAAACGATCTCTTGTTTGCGGCTCATCCGAGAGAGTCCGAGAGAGTTTTTGGCAGGTGTGGCCCGAAATCGATAAAAATATCATATTTCACGAGAAGCGATAATTCCGCGGTGTATTGCGTTTTTGTCGACCTATGCTCAGTCATTGCGACAGCCACGATTACGCATTCTCGCGTAACAGCAATTGGAATATCTAATCATCGTTCTCCGTAATGACGGATAATTTCTAAATAATAAAGCGCGGATGAAATCATTCATCGAAACGTACCGTGTGTTAAAGTGCAGCTTTATCTGGCGGAGCCCGTAAGATAAAATTTATCTTTATTAAAAATTTTTTATATTTCTGTTAAGATAATATTCTCTAAATATGGAAGATTACTTATAACAATTGTCACAAAACATATGTTTTCCTTTTTATTTATAACATCAAAGAATCTAAGATTATTGCTGATTGCAATTCTTGATCGTTAATGACGATTTATACGTGACTTTCAGATATTTTTATCGCGTTGTGCTGTATGATATACTTTATAGCGTGGTATCGCGAGTATTTTTTCACTCTATGGTCTCTGGACCAAACTAAAGTGATAAGTTCGCGGATACACGCTCATAAATGGCTGCGATGTAACGTGTTAACGCGCGCTATGTGAAACAAGCCTTATATTCTCCATCGCAGCGACACGATATGATCAATGTACGTAAAAGGAAAATTTGCGCCGACGGCAGATGCACACGAGCGCGGCAATCTGACGCAAGTACGAAACTCCGTTGGATAATTCAATTATTTTCCAATCAGTGCCGAGTAATCTCGAGAATCGCAGATTACTCGTCTGTCGAATGAGCCGATAAATTGATGCTAACTTCTAAGATGCCGTTTCAGTGACGCGAATGTTCACGGAACGTGGGGTAATTATTCCACGTATTGTTTTTATTGTTTTTTGACGTAAGTGATTAGGATTAAGGATATTCTATACCAACAGAATACCATCGATGGATTTTCGTGTTGCGTCGCGACGTGCGAGAAATTACAAAACATTGCATTAATAACTTTTTGCAAGATGTGCGGAGTTCGCCTTCTAACTCTCATTTGTACAAAAAATAAATTTTTAAATGTGCTAATCTTTTCATTGCAAAAATTTTTTCTATTTTTTAAAATGTCAGATAAATAACAGAATTAATAAATTAATAAAGGTAATTATATCCCAAAGAAAAGTTTAAAAAAAAATCTGAAAAAGACAAGTAATTTGAGAAAATCATCATCATGAATTATGTCAATTTTTTACATATAATATGACTATTTAAAAATTAATAACTATTAGAAATATTATATATAATTTGTTTTATATTTTATTCGGATATTGGATTATGGCAAATCGTTTTATCGTCTGTCTACTTCCATAGATGTGGCTTATCGTCCAAGCAGCGTTAGGCAGAGATAAAAATAAAAAGTATTGGGTTGGCAAATAAGTTCGTTCGGTTTTTTGACTGGTTTTGAATGGAAAAAACCGAACGAACTTATTTGCCAACCCAATACATTTGATGCGAACGTGTCGCTAAACCCTAAACAAAACTGCTAGATATTATTCGATCGGAGATTCACTGTAGATTCAAGGCTGTTATAACGCCAGCTTGAGACCATTACATTTGGCACGATCATAGCTTGCAGCTGAATACTCACGTCATAATCTCATATCAATATTGAAGTATCGACCGGCAACTATAAATATTTAAATTGCGCCCATTTATCATCATACAAGTGATGAAAGCAAACATGTACACGATCGTGTAATTTTGCAGACAGGTAACTCGAACAACACAAAAAACTTCGCCGAACGCAGCGCATCGTTACATTGCGATAGAATAAACAATCAATAAAAAAAACGAATTATCGCACTAAGCGATAAAACAGCCAGTTAGATCTCACGTAGATAACTAACGATAAATAAATAAAGAAAGAAAGAGTCAACCATAGATTAGTATTTAATTAATAAAAATATTTTCGAGACGCGTGATACGCGTAGAAATCTTTTGCTAATTTTTTATAATTTTTCTTAAGAGGATAAGGTAATAATAGCAGTGATATCGTGAAGTCTTTACAGTATCGCGAATATATTAGAATACAAAAAGTAACAATTGATATCTGAAAAGTCTTATCGCGAGTCTCGTTTTCGCTCGGAAGTTTCCGGATTAACCGGTTCCTGTTTGCGATACTATCTAGATCTTTATCGCATTGAATACTAAAAAAAAGATAAAGAAACGACACGCGTAATGTAGAAAGAAATGTATTTTTTTTCTTAATTATGAGTTTGATGAAAGAAATCTTTGATATCTTCCTGTTTTCCGCATATTATTAAGTTAATAATATACATTTAATTAAATTTAAAATATCCAAGAATTAAATCCAAAGGAAAAAAAGCATCATTTTTTTTATCACTCACTGTAGTTAGTTTGTTAGTTACTATATGTTTTGTTTGTTTTAAAAGCATCTTGTCCTTTGTTTCAAAAACCTACTTTGCCAATCTATAATAATGCTGTTATTGTTGTTTACAAAATTCATGTTATATGAATTATTTGTATAGAAATACATCAACGTTTTTTAAACATCGAATAAAATCTAATGGAACGAAAAATTTTCGTTGAAAAGTAACTAATTTAGTAATTAGTTTAACTTGGAGATACAATCGCAGGTCGTGAGTGCTTAAATGAAATCTTAATGGAAATATCTTAAATAAACATAAACTGATATTCATTGACATCCTAATAATATACGAACAGTCACTTATTCTATCACCCGTTGTTTGAATTTGGCGAGTGTAAATGCATTATTTATGTTTTTCGTCCATTTCACGCTGAACATCCGCCAGATAAGTCATTTTTAACATTACGCTGATGCTAAGTGTTCTATGTAGGTATCGAATTTAAAACGTCTCGCTGATAAATCGAACGAGAAGCATAAATGCGATATCGTAAAGTATATTTTGAGATCCAATTATTTTTAGACTGGATGTGTGTGTTTCTGT